ACTCAGACTTTTGGGGGGAGGGGGGGAAATGGGCATTTATTGAAACCTTAAAATCTGTACCCCCATAATATGCCAAAATAAAAAAAAAAAACAAAACAAAACAAAAAAAAAAGTGAAAATTTTATCTAATTGTTTGAATTTCTTTAATTTACTAGTGAAATTAGACATTTGCATATTTGTTTTTTTTATTTTAGCTTATTATGGGGGTACAAGTGTTAAGGTTACATATATTGCCCATGTCCCCCTCTGCATATTTGTTTTTAATGTTATTCTTTTCTCCTTTTTGAATTGTCTGTGCCTTTTGCTAATTTATCTATTTGAATCTTATCATTTTTCTAAGATATTTTTGTTTTTTATATTATGTTCACCTAGTATAAAAATTTTTTTTATTTCCTCTCCTCAGTTTGATTTTTTCAAAAACAATTTTTTTGGTAAACAGATTGTATCTATTTTTTCTGTTACGTTTAAACTGATAGGATCCTCTCCACAGAACATTATATATTCACTTTTGTTTTATATAGTTTTTGCTCCTTTAGCACAAATGAAACTAGTTTCCTTTACAATTAGTGTTAAATATGATGGCTTATAAGTCCCAAGAGTTTACAAATTGTTGGCTAATTTCCATTTATATAAAAATGTTATACCTTCCTGATTAAAGTAAATTCAGGCTTATCTTTTCCTTTAAACTATATAGAAGCAGTGACTATAAAACTGTTTCCTGTGCCATTTAAAATTCTTCCTGGAGTTATTTGTATGAAAATTATCCCACGAGTATGTGAACTTGTGCTAAGATAATAGCTGTCCATAAAACAAAACGCATGTTTTCCTAAACTTTCCTCTTCCTCTTTTTAGAACTTTATAGAATCTTCTATCACACTGTTTGAATCTGACCTAGAAAGTGGGAAGTTTATTGACATTACAAATCAGGAAATTTCTGACTTAGAAGAAATTGGCTTTGGCAGTGAAATAAGATCCATTCACGTTAAAAGTGGAGTGTAAGTTGTCCCCTACTCTTAAGACCCTTGAGAGATTCTTTGCTGTTTAAAATTATTGTTTACTTGATTGAACGTCACCTCTGTTCTTTTTCCTTTTTCCCCTGCTAGATGGGTTGCCTACCAGCAGAAGTTCTTCTGTGGAGAGCAATATATTTTAGAGAAAGGGAAATACAAATGCTTTTTAGATTGGGGAGGATCAGATAATATAATCATGTCGATACGACCTATCCAACTGGTGAGTGAAATATGAAGATAACCAATGCCAGTGGCATGTAATAGTATGCAGCTGAATAAGTGGGAAACACCCTTTTTTTTTTTTTTACCTTTTATCCTGACATTTTTTTTAAATTGACAGTTAATAATTGTACATATTCATGGGAATACATAGTGATGTTTTGATACATATAATAGATAGTGATCAGATCAGGGTTAATTATTAATATAGCTATCATCTCAAACAAACATCTGTCATTTCTTTGTGTTGGGAACATTCAATATGTACCCCTCCTAGCCATTTGAAACTATATTATATTATTAACTATAGTCATCCTACAGTGGTATAGAACACTAGAACTTATTTCTCTTATCTAGCTATAATTTTGTATCCTTTCACACTTTTCAAGAGTGGAATTTTTAAATTATGTTATGTGTATATATAGAGAAAAATGAAACAGCACATGAATTTCTATAGACTGCATAGAGAGCTAGTAGATAATAACACATGAATGAGATGGCTCCGTAATTGATCAGTTCATTTATTCAACAGCATTTCTTTAGTGCCTCCGATATGTTGGACACTGTGCTGATCACCAGAGATAAAAGATGAATAAGATTGCTCTGATGGGTCTCAGTCTCTTAGGGAAGATAGATGTAGGGACAATTAATTATAGTACAATCGGTGAGAAAATGAAGTGTGTAGATTGTGCTGGGGCAGCAGAGGAGGGGAACACTCAGTGCCTGGGGATTTAGGGACCTTTCCACAGAAGAGGATGTGTTGAGTGGCAGCTTAAGAGATAAAAGCAATTTTTCCAGGCAGAAAGGACATTTCACAAAGAGGGAGTAATCTCCTTGTGTGCAAAGTCATGAAGTTGTTGAAAGAGTGTGGCCAGTTTGGATGATGACCAACACTGCAGAACAATAAGAGTGCCCATGAATGGTCAGAAATTGGTCAGAAATTCACACTCCATCTTTGTAACGGGCCTTGGGGTAGGTTTTTCTTCCAGCTACAATATTATTCAAAATGAATTAGTCATAAGTACTAAAATTATAAGAGAATTCAGTAGGTTATGTGAAGGTTATAGACAGTTCAAATTATCTAGAATATTGGTCAGACCATTAAAAAATTCTTTTTCAAAGGATATTTTCAACACATTCAAAAAGGCAACTAAGATTATGCGGTTACATTTACAAAAGTGTTTCAATATGTTTTTCAGGAACCACTTGGAATAAATGAACCTCCACATTTGGTATGTTTAAAAATATTCTTAACTTGTAATTGTTAAATTATTTACTAAAAGCATTTATATCTTTTCTCTCAAGTCTTTCTGTTTGCCTCAGGTAATTTTTCTGTGTCTGTGTGGCAGGGCAGTTTGTCTTGCACACGGTACCAGCGAGCGGAAGAGTGCCCATCTTTGTTAGTGATTGTTTTGGCCTGGGTTTGTCACAGTTCCTTTCATTTTCTACTGCAGCTCTATTTTAGGGTCATTTTGAACCTCTGCCCCCTCCTCTTTGTTGCCCATTCTTTCTTCAGTGTCACATTTTTATTCACAGCATATTAAGTTGTCTTGGGAGGCACAAACACCATGGAGAAATCACTGACTTGGCATGCTTATTATGTGCCTGCTCTGATACCTACATCAGAACAGATGTTTCTTCAATGAGCTAGTACAATTGAAACCCTACTTTTTCATTTCTAGTGTGCTAATAACTTGAAGGGGATTGGGCAATACTCTCGAGCCTACTATTTGTTTATGATATATTGAGGGTTAGAAATTGTGCCTATTTGATACTTATACTAACTCTGGGAAATCAGTATTAATCCTATTTATAGATAAGAAAACTGAGATTCAGAATTTAAGTAAGTCCCATATCACACAACTAGAATTAGCAAAATAGACATTTCTGGTAACTGACTCCAATGAACAAGACCACATTTTCAGGGTCTTACATCAGAGAGAGAACATCATGATATGATCAGTACAACTGTAGAGAGGGTGAGAGACATTGCTTCCTCTGTTTCATTTTAAATAACAAATTTAAAAAAATGCTAACAAAAAAGCCGCATACAGTGATTAATTTTAAATATTTAGCATTTGCTACCTTTGCATAATACTCAAATCTTTTTCTCTGAATGTCTGTGTTTTTCATATTCATATCAGTGTTTATTATGTTTGAGACCAGCTCAGTTTAACCATGTTTCCATTCACAATACATTCAGGTTTTATTATTTTCTGATTAGCTCAGGCCTATTGGGAGCATTTCCTTTCTGAATATAATTGGTTATTGTATTTAGAGACACTTCCTGCCAAATCTTTATTTTGAATTTCTGAAAACTCTCAACTGTGGATTTTTAAAGCACTTTTTGAACCATGAATCAAAATAACATGAGTAGATTAAAGGAATTAAACAGGAGGAATTTCAAACTATACATCTTTTGAGTTTTAACTACCAGTAAAAAGTCCCATTCTTTAAGCTCTGTTTCTCCTACCTCCCTGTTCCTTTTTTTATGGACTTCCTTGTTTGGGGCAGATTGCTGGGAGGATTTTCTTGATAGTATTTCCAGTCCAACTTGAAGAGAGAGGAAGCAGCAGAAAACGCCCTGTGAAATCAGCCTGACTTCATTTTTCTGGGTATGGCTCAGTTATTGCCTTGTGAATAAATGTTTCTGACAGGTACATGATAGCTGGATATTTAGTAAGACATGAACAAAGCCTCCTCTGTTCACCCAGTGTCAAAGCTCTTGTTATTTTCAGTGGACCACATTTTCAGATGTTTTTCTTGTTTATACTTACCTAAACATAAGCGGGTCGTAGCTGACATACTGGTTCCATCAGAAAATACTAGAAAGTATTTTCTCCTTCATAGGTAGTTATGACAGAGTGGCCATACAGATGCTGTGTTCAAAGGGGGTACTTATGTACTTATTTCCCTGTCTGAGGAATAAGGAAGAAGTTAATATCTCAGGGTGCAAATCAAAGAGGAATTTCTTTTTTTTTTTTTTTATGCTGGGAATTTTAAGGGAAACCTCAAGCAACTTGAGAGGGAAAAGGCCTGAAAATGTATGTGAATTAGAGATTAACATATATCATGAGAGTTACGATAGTAAAATATGATTGATTGTTTTGTAAGCATATTATGATGAAATATATCTTGTTTGGTATACTAGTAGAATACCACCTGTTATGGAGAAGATTGTTTTTCTGCTAAGGCTTAAGTTCAGTCACTAAGTCCACTTACCAACTGAAGATATACAGGCTCATGATAGAGTTCTTCATTATTAGCAGGTGGCATTTTAGTTTTTAATTTTTCCCCAAACAAAACAAAAACCAAGGAGAATGTGGATTATCTTAATAGTGTCATCATCTTGCTCTCTTGGTAAGTCCTGAATATCAGAAATCTTACTAGATTAAATCTTCTGAAAGTAAATTTAGTTTTCAGGGGATGTTGTAGGCAGGCTCATTCTCTAGCAATTCTAACCAGTTATCCCCTGTGACTTAATCAAGTACCTTGTGTTTCTAGAATCTTTTTCAAGTCCATTTGCAAATATAATCAAAAGCTTGGATTTCTTTAAATATTGAGCCCCTGTTCCATTTTATACATGATTCTAGCCAAGAAAAGCAACCAGATATTTTCTTATATTGAATAACTTAGCCTTATTCACTGAATTTTAAAGTGATCACAGGATCTGTAATAGTTGTGCTTATAGAAAAAATGACAGTTTTAGGTAAATATCAGTAAGATTCAAGATTGATGGAATGAAAATACTTCTTTGTGGCACTATAACCAGATCATTTTTATATGATCAAAGCACCAAAGCACTTACGAAGAATTATTTAAGTAAAGAAAACCTTTTATCATTGATAAGGGAGATAAAATTATTGAAAATGGAAAGATGTGAGAAGTATATAACACAATATGAAAAAGGTGTGATGTAATAGAAGAATGGAAATAAAACTTTTCTTTAACAATTGGCATGTTTGTTAGAGGGAGGTCCAGAGGGCTGGGGAAAGGTTTATTTAGACATGGAAGAAAAGTTCTTCATAGAAATTATTTTAGTATTGGAGTAAATAAAATTACATTAAAAATGCTGTTATTATAGAATAAATTGAGCACAGCTTCTGTGTTTGGTCCATAGTTAAGTTTGTGCATTTTTAGTTTGTCAGATTAAAGACCTATTACATATTATTCATACATATCATAAGTAAGAATTACATAGCAAAAAACATTTCTACAAAATCTTTGTTATAAAGTGGTGATAATTTCTATCTCAAAAGGGTAGTTCTAATGAAGAAATACAATAATATATATGAAAAGCAAACCAGTTACCACATGCCTTTCCCCACCTCCTGCTTTCATACACTTACATTTGGGGAGCAGATAGGAGTGAGCCATGCCCACATGGCACAGAGGGCTGGGCGCAGTTTGAAAAAACTCATCTCTTGTTCTTCTGTTTACGTAGGTTCCGAGCAGTCTGTCTTGAGATGTTTTGTATATTTATTCTCCATTGATCTGGAAAGGAAACCAACACAGTGATTTATCCAGCTGGTTTCCCCCAGGACTTAATTTCTCCAAGGCTCTGTCATGTCACCAAGAGTAGAAACCACAATTTAATTATTATAATAAGTAAAGCAGACTTGGTTTTTGTGTGGACAATCCTCAGAACACTATTATGAGAATTGTCCTATTCTGAGGCATTTATAAGGAGATCAAAATGAGACATTATTTGGGGTGGGGATGGTCTAATTTTGGGTGAAGCATAAACTATATCTCATTTGGGGGATTAAAAATAAACTCAGATAAGCATTCAACCCAGTTTTTTAAGTTTGGCCAGAGGCTATTTTAACCCATCAAATCAAAAAGATATTTTATGATAGATTATTTCTGTGTATGTGTGTAAATTTTAATTAATTTTTCTGGGTATAAAGACTGAGACAAAAACTAGAGATGGCTACTTGTATACCATCAAAAATATCCTTAGCTTGCATTTTCAGTTGTCCAAGATTTGATGTTTTGTGGTGAAATGTTATAGTATAAATCTTAAACCTAGCAATATGAAATCCATTCATTCAGCAACCTGAGAATACAAGTAGTGAACAAGGCAGCATGGTCTCTGTTCTCATGTGGCTTTTCTGAATCTTATTGTGAATTAAGATAATATTTGCATGCAGGAGAAATTTCTCTACATTTGTGGAAGTTAAAAGTGATTTGCTTTTTTTAGCCTCATGTTTTATAAACCTTCAAGCTAAAAAACATAAGTCTGTCGTATTTTGGACTTTCTTTTTCTTACTCTCCTCTGTGTTTACCAGAAGGACTCTGACAGAAACTTGCTGGACACATCCTTATGGCAGGGAGACGCTTGGTGTTTTAATGCTCCAAGTTCAGTGCGGTTTCGCAGTAGGAAGCATGTTGTGCAAGCCACAGCTGGTCCAGGGGGAAATTGGTTCTCTTACCTCCCTGGTTTTGGCTGATCTTTGGTATCAGACCACGTAAGGTCAGAGCAGAATGAGATAGCTACGAAACAATTCTTCTAAGAGAGGACCCTTGGGGAGATGTGGGAGGTGAATGTCAGCTGCTCAGAGACTCCTTGTTCCGGATGGCAGCATAAGCAGGAGAAAGGGTGATGCTGCGGATCATTCATTATGACGCATCCACTGCTACAGTGCGGGCCTGTCAGTGTTGGGCGGACCTGTGGGCCATGTCACTTCAAGTCTCCAGTGTATCATGAAATATTTATAGGGCTCATTAATTTTTTTCTTTCCCTATTATAGATCCAAGGCCAGTAGAGTTGCAGATTATTATATCTCTGGTCTAAAGGGAATTATAGTTGAGATTTCGTGGATTTTTCTTGACAAAAAGGACTAAAGTAGAAATGTGGTTGTATATAATTGTAAACCGTACATTTAAGGTCTTCTTATCAGAAAACTGAAGCCTATAAGCTGAAATACCTGAGACACAGACATCTTTCTTTCTTCACCATAAATCTTCCACTAATCCCATCATTATTATCTTCCCCACCATCTGCTCCTGGGCTCTCTCAGGCATTCTTGTGAGCATGCGCTCATGCTCTCTTCTCTCCTTTATTAACTCTGGATCACGAAGACCTGAGAGAGAAAAGACATTACCATCTATCCCCATTCTAATCTAAACCTCTTCTGTGATTAGCACTAAATCACTTACTGTCTTTTACCTCTAGTCTCATCACAGGGCATAATAATATGGTGGACAAGGACCACATTTTTTTAGTGAAGAAGGAATTCTGATTTACCCTTATCAGCAGAATTGTTTTCTAGGCCTCTTTGCCTACAGTTTGGTACAAAAGATTGATGAAAATGGTAAATAACTGGTGACATTTCATTCCTGGAAACATGTTTTAAAAAGAGCTAGTTTAAGGAGAATGTCATCATCCTTAACATAAATTCATTGATAATAGATAAACAAATCTAACATTTTGCTGAGTTTTTAAGTATGTGAAATTAAAGGTTTTTATTTGTGATGGTGTCAAATAATTGTTTTCTGTTTAATTATTATTGTGTTGTTCTTGTAGCTCAAAGCATTCAGTAAACCAGGGTTCCAAGGTGAATGTATAGATTTTACGAAAGAAATATCTAATTTGACTTCATTCACACCGTGTTCTTTTAAAGTTCTTCGGGGATGGTAAGTGTGCTTGTTAAGTGTTTTCTATTTATTAACTGAATTTCTTTCAAATTTACAGAGATTTATTTTTTTGCATGTACATGAGTTTTAAGATTTTTCCTTTTTAGGCATTGGTTAGCTGTTAATTAGCCTATAGTTTGTGAATATGTATTTTGTGTCATCATAGAATACAGAAAAACAGTGCTGATTAACCAACTTTGAGAGCTTTTTCTGATTTTTTTTTCTCACTGTTAGATTATTTCCTAAATATTTTAAATGTTTATATTGTAGGCTCACTATATAGTATATCAGAATGCTATAAAAATAGTGGTTTTGTCCATGTAAGATGTATTACTCCTAAATTTATTTTTTTAACCTTTTTGTTTATGGTATTTATTATCCCCATTTCACAGATGAGGAAACCAGATTCAGAGTTGGGTTTCCCAAGATCACATACCAAGTGTCAGACCCAGGATTTCTTTGGTAGTTCTTTTTTCTTTCTTTTTTTTTTTTAAGGTTTGAATCTTACATTCATCTAACTGCAACAACATACTGGATCTGTCTCATAGGTATATGAAACTGTATGTGATTTTCAAGGCTAAAATATATTCTATCACTTTTTTATCATGATAAAATATACATAACATAAAATTTACTATTTTAACCATTTTTAAGTGTACAGGTCAGTGTCATCTCTATGTACCACATATCTGCCTAATAACCTACCAAGTCTCTAAATTCTTCCTTCAAAATATCTTGGGTTTGTCAATTCTCCTCCCTCCATTCTTGGACCATTAGAGACCTAGACCTTATGTTTTTCATTTGGGGAACTTCAGTCTTATAATTATCCCTTGCTCCCATGTTTTCTTATTTCCAGTGTTTATCATCAGTCACAGTCCAGTTATTTGTGCCAAAATCCATTTTAATATTTTTACTAGTCTGATTGAATCCCCACTGACATTCTATAGTACCAGTCACGTTCAAACTCCTCCTTTTCCAGGATTTCCCTTCAACTGGTCCATTTCCATACTGTCCTCCTCTCCTCCCCTCCCCTCTTCTGACATTTGTTCAGCCATTTGTTTTCCTTTTTACCCTCTATACCAGGGGTCAGCAAAGTATATATAAAAGGCCCGACAGTAAATATTTTAGACATTGGTAGTAAATAAATCAAGCAGTCTTTCCCCTCTCATATTTCCTATAGCTTTTCTGCAGTTCAATAACAAACACAGAGCTCTCTTTGTATTCATTATTAGATTGCCATTGTGTGTAGCACAAAAGCAGCCATAGACAATGCCCAGATCAACAGGCATGTCTGTGTTCCAATGAAACTTTATTTATGGACATTGAAATTTGAATTGTGTATCAAATTTACATGTCATGAGACAGTGTTAATTTTTTTTAAACCCTTCAAAAATGTAAAAACCAGTCTTAGCTTATGGGCTGTATGAAAACAGGCAGTGGGGCAGCTTTGGCCCACATGCTGTAGTTTGCTAACCTCTGCTCCACACCAAAGGCCATAGGTCTCTGGTACATCAGCCAGCACAAGTCACTTGTGTGGCCTGCACGCTGGGTTAAAAAATTTTTTTATCAATACTTATGTTTAGGATATATTTCAAAAGAACCTCTTTTCACCTTCCCTTTAAAAATCAGGAGACTTGAAGATCTTAGGAAAGTTTTTGCCTTTGCCTTTATCAGTAATTGCTGGTATTGACTAGATTGTGTGTGTGTTCCCAAGTGTGCCATAGTCACTACCATTTCCAATTCTTTTCACCTGCTATGCTGCTCATTTGCATTACCTGTCTGGTCTCCTGCAGGTATGTAATTTTGTGACCCCTGCTTAATACTAATCCACATATATCCCTTAAGGTTCAATCCACCCCCATTCTTTCTGTTAACCTTCTTGATTAATTCTAAATCAAGCAGTCTTTTCCCTCTCATATTTCCTATAGCTTCTCTGCTTTCAGCCTCTTTGTATTTGTTAATGTTTGGAAACTTACCTCTAAAAAGGATGTGAGAGTTTTACAACATTAAAACATATAAAATAGGGGATTAAAGTTAAATAGGTTATATAAAACTCATTGGTAAGAGAGAAACGTATTTATCAAGGACCTGCAGTAATTTTGTTGCTGTTATTTGGCTCTGAGTTTCTTCTCCACTAAGATAAAATATTTTGCAATATTTAGATTCATTTTCTCTTAATAAGAAGCATTGAAATGCTTTCTGGAGGAAAATGTGTTTTACCTGATACTTACGTCTAGGACAAATTAGTCACAGGTGTCTCTTCATGTAGGAACTATACAACCCAAGTTTAATAAAAGAATACAAGAACCTTGATGAATGTGTAAGCACCTAGAATGCTTGAGAGACCTGAATTTGAATCCAGTTCCACCATTTCCTAGCTATGTAAATTGAGGCTGATTGGGTCATCTCTGTGAACCTCAGTTTCCTCATCTGTAAAGCAGGGATAATAATAGTACCTCAAAAAGATTCTTATAAGGACTAAGTAAAACAGTGTACACAAAGGGTTTAGCTTTATGCCTGGCACATTGAAACCTTTGATAATTGTTGGCTATAAAATGCTGATTAAAATACATGACAGTAAATTATAATGTCACAGAGCATTTCTGTGGTTACCTAAAGATAACTTGGTATATAGCTAGAGTACAGGCCTAGCAATATCTTAAATTATAGGGCTAGAACTTAAACACAACAAAACTAAATTAGTAATAACCAGTTAATTTCTCCCTTGGGCTCCTCCTTTTCAAAATGATATTTCTTTTTTTTTTTTTTTTTGTGAGACAGAGTCTCACTTTGTTGCCCAGGCTAGAGTGAGTGCCGTAGTATCAGCCTAGCTCATAGTAACCTCAAACTCCTGGGCTCAAGCAATCCTTCTGCCTCAGCCTCCCGAGTAGCTGGAACTACAGGCATGTGCCACTATGCCTGGCTAATTTTTTCTATATATATTAGTTGGTCAATTAATTTCTTTCTATTTTATAGTAGAGATGGGGGTCTCGCTCTTGCTCAGGCTGGTTTCGAACTCCTGACCTCAAGCAATCCGTCAGCCTCGGCCTCCCAAAGTGCTAGGATTACAGGCGTGAGCCACCAAGCCAGGCCTCAAAAGGACATTTCTTAACTTTTGTTGAGTGCTGTATTGACATAACTGACAAAGATTTCTAAAGCGTTTTTTAAAAAAATTTCTATTAGCTGTCAGATGTCAGGTGACAGATTTTATGAATCTTCATGTGAGTTTAGAAGTCTAGCTTCTATACTCACCCAGACCGAATACAAGCTCATCATCAAATAAGGGTACAAAAAATTTTTAGGTTTTTTTTTCTTCCCCAAAGAAGTTTTCCCAAAGAAGACTTCTAATCAGTTCAAGTACTTAGTAACCACCATAATTTGATCCCAAAGTTTTATACTTGGGCAAATCACCTAACCTTTCTAATCCTTAGTTTTATTACCTGTAAAAATGAGATATATTTCTGACTCAGAATTCTTGAGAGCACAGTGAAATAATATATGTGAAGTACCTAGCCTAGTGCCTGGCACACGGCGAGCAGTCAGTGATACAGTGACAGCTGTTGTTACTGATGCTGGTCAGCACGACGACTTGTGTGTCTACGCCCACCAGGTCCCACAGCATGATGGTGAGCCTATGCTGCCCCCTGAATGCAATTTGACTGACTGTCTTACTGCTTTGTTTTTAGCTGGCTCCTGTATTACCAAGAGGGCATTTTTTATAATCATGTGTATTAGAAGAAGGCCTTATGCCGACCTTACTTCCTGTGGCTGCCCAACGTCTAGAGTCAAATCTCTCAAGCCCATTGACTACGTAAGTACTTTGCTCAGTGCACATTTGAGACTCTTTTTCTTGTCCAGTCTTATTACCACAGATGATAATGTAAAGTTGGAAGAAATACAAAGGGAAATATCAAAAATATGAATAATTTATCAGTTTATAAAATTGAGGTTCATCATAAAATCCAACCAAAATGTAAGATTGATATTTTCCTTTTTTTTTTTTTTAAAAGCAGGACTACAAACCTCAAGAACTAGAATAATATAGATTTGGGCTTAAATCCCAGTTTGATACTTTAACCAGATTGACAAAGTTATTTGGTTTTACCACCTCTAGAAAGTAATACTTTGAAGGCCTTAGGATATTAGATGATGCTTATAAAATGTCCAGCATGTGGTGAATACTCCAATGTTAGCTGTTAGAACCATGGTTGTTATGTTATAGCTGCTAAAATGTGAAAAATAATAACCTTACTACCTTATAATCTATTAGATACATCATATGAACTTTGTCTGCTACTCAGATTTACAATGTCATTTTAAGGCATGGACCACCACTGGTATTGATTCAAATCTTTTGGGGACCAAGGCTTTCTGCCTGTGTGTGCAGAATTATCTGGGTCACCTTGGAGGCCCATATTTATAGAGGAAGTAGGTTCTCCTTTTGAACACGTTTATTCAGAATTTTAAACATGAGAAAAACAGGATCTGGGTTCTTGGTTAGTAGGGTCTGCATAGAACAAGTAGTGAAGATCTGGGATATTTTCAAGATACGTAGTTATGACAGTTCCCTAGGGACATGTTTGGTCAAACCCTGAGTTTACACAGAGCTAATTAGAAGCCCTACGTAATACTAGGAATGACTCAGACTTTTGGCCAGAGCTGACTCCAGGGATAATGGTCATACTCAGGATCTTTGATCGCAGCCTAAACAATGTAGTCCTGTTGTCAAAACCACAAGGGATTTGGTCTAGGTCCAGTTACTTGTTGCACAAAAATCCATATTGAGACAATGAGGATTGCCAAGAAGAAAAGAATCTTTAATACGACAGACATCTTGTTGGGAGAATAGGAGCAGCTGCCTCAAATCTGTCTCTTCAACAAGGATATCATGGACTTTGAAGGAGGACCATGTCCTTGGGCTGGCTGTGGTGTATCTGACAAGGGTTTATGTGCATTGGGTGCAGGTTGAGGGGGGTGGTAAATCTTGGTGGCAGGAAGTCTGCTTTGGGGCCTTCATAATCTCAACTCCTTTGTCTTATGGAAAATCCATCATTTCAGGCCGGGTACAGTGGTTCACGCCTGTAATCCCAGCACTTTGGGAGGCCGAGGTGGGAGATCACTTGAAGCCAGGAGTTCAAGTCCATCATTCTGGTAAACAACTCAAGGAGTTGAGTAGTTAGTTAAGGGAGAAGATTATAAAAATAATATAGGGATACACAGAGCTGGTTACAGTGCTACTTCACAAGACATTCCTGGATAGAGTATTCTTGGTATCAGGCTAAGAATAGAATCTTGGCTGAAGAACAAGAATAGAAATAGAGTCCTTGGTCATACTCAGTAGCCCTGTCGACACCAACTTGGAAAGAATAAGTGGCTACTGACATTTCCTGTCTGTAGGAGGAAAACTGGTTTAAAAAAAAAAAAAGAATGTGGTCTGATAAGTATTCACAGGTTTTGATCATGCTGAAAAGGGAATTGGAAAGTAGTGTGCATTTACTGGAAAAGGAATTTTCTTAGCAATTTTTAGTGGCCAAATCAACAAACAGATGCTTACTTGGTATTAACTCTAAAAGCAAAAAGATACAAGTCTAAATATGAAAGTACTATCTTGAAAGAATTTTGTAGGATTCTCAATTCAGTAAATTAAATCAACTAAGTTTCTAGGGAGGGCATTTTAGAAACAGGGTCAAAATTAAGGAGTATTACTATTTTTCTTTGCAGAGTTATAATTCCTCTGCATACATGAAGTGTAGAATGAATAATTATGATTGGGAGTGAAAATATGCCGAGGGAAAGAAGTGTTTTTGGTTAAGTTGTCATGTGCAGTTGCTTGTTCTTAGTTTTGGTCCTGTGGAATCCAGGCAGTGTAGGGAAAGGTGCCTGTTGGGAAGACTTGAAATCTATATACTTTTCACTTCAAGAACCAGTTAAGGAGTATATTCAGTTTATGTAAGGGCAGTACATTAGTTTTTTTTAATGCCTTTTCACAGAGTATTTTAAATCTTTGAATGGTCTTTGTCAAAGACGTGTTAGGGCAGCAAGTTTGGTGTTGGAATGGAAGAAGTGTGAAATGAGGTTGGGTAACCTGCAGAGATCCAGATTGACCATGAAGAAGCCTCAGCAGGTTGCACAGGCTTGGTGAAATCAACCATGCTTCACCTGGCAGGCCCCGAGGTTCTGAGCTGATTGGACCTAGGGAGATTGATATGTAAAACAGAGGTCAATTTAGTGATTTGTACAAAGTGGATTCTAACGACTAGAATGAATTCTTGACAGTTCTGTCCTAGGCATTTTTGTGCCTCTCTGGAAGAACATGGGAAACAGAATTAGTCATTAGAAGGTTACCTATTGAGTATAATAGTTGGGTAAAATAAGGTAGATGTCTTGAGATTAGCACATAGGCTAACATTGCCTCACACCCCAAAAAGAGACTCCTGCCACTGTCTGGGTCCCAGTCACTCAGATCCTCCAGATTCTGTGTCTCCTTTCCTTGTTCAGTGCTAGACATACTCTACCTGTTCTGCTTCTCTGATTCCTTCTGCATCCTCTCTCCCCCTAATCTTTTCTTACTTAGGGATTGATATTTTTTCTATAGGTTTGTTAATACTACTGCCTATGGCACAATCCAGTGGCATTCTGGATTTGTTCCAAGAAATGTTACTGTGTACTTGAATTGACTTTATGTATGAGCTAATCTTTTGAATTTTCTTTTGTTAGTTAAAACTGAAAAATTCCAAGGGGGTTTCCTACAATTGGCATTCCCAGACATGCTATGACTTAGTACATAAGTGTCAAAGTGATGTAATGTTGAGGAACCTTAAGACTTCATCTTCATACAAGATCAGTATGCTTTGCAAGTGACAGTTTGCTCTAGGCTAACTTCTATTGATGCAGATGTATGTTACATTCTGGAGGTCCATGGACGCATAATTTTCAGTGCCAGAGTCATTTTACAGTGACAGGAGCTGGAAGCTTAGTTTATAGTTCTGCTTCTCACTAATGTGACCTTGGGAAAATTTCTTAATTTATTTGGGCCCCAGTTAATTCATCTGTAAAGATACTGTTGAGATACATATTTTCCAATCATGGACAGCCTCCATTTCTGTTGTAAATAAGTATCCTAGTCGTATTTATAACTAGACATGAAAAGGAGTCTTTCCAGCCATAAGATTCACGTGGTTGGAGGGAATACGATCATGTATTAGCTTTCACAACAGTCCCCAGGATCTCAGTGGTCTGTAACAACAGACACTTTTTCCCCCCATATTTTGTCTCAGCAACTGCAGGACAGTTGCTTGGCCTCCACTGTGGGTTGTAAGTTGGTTTCAGATACATTTTTGGTATATATTTTGTTTTGGGACCAGGCTAATGGGAGCATCTCCTAGTGGGGACATGCCTATTTTCATGACAGTGAGAAAGAGGAAGAGAGACCTCAACCACAGAATCACATTTGAGTCTTCTGCTCAAATATGACACCACTGTGTCCATTCACATTCTATTTATTACCAAAAGCAAGTCATAAAACCAATCCAGACATCAGTGGAGCAGGCAGGGGAAATAGACTCCTTATCCTTCTCCCTGGGCAGGGGTGCAGTAGACAGAGTAAATATATTCAAGCAATAATACAATCTATCAGAGATATATAAATTCATAGCAGTGTTCTCTGTTACCAAATTTTGGGAGAAATAAAATTTTAATAAATTTTGCTTGTATTCTTCTCTCTGTCATCATAACAGAGCTAAACTCCTTAAAAAAAAAAAAAAAAAAAAAAAGATTGTTGTTGAGGTTCATTTTCAGTGACAGCCTGGAGGTGGTTTGGTGGCCGTCAAATGAAGTATATGATAGACAAGTAGAGGATACTACCTCAGAATATGGTCTCCCATGCACATTCAGAATTCATTTAGAATTCTAAAATCAGGTAATTGAATATTGGGAAATTTAATTTAACCACACCAAGATGATTCTGTATAAGTATTTGGGAAAAATAATACAAAATTAAGTATCCTGGTATCAGGAAAGTGAACTAAGGCCCAAGATTTTCCTCAGGCTCTTTACAGCATGTAATTGTATTTCTGGAAAAATGATGTGTCTGATAATAAACCTGAAAATCTATTTCAAACCATAGTGGAATAGGTTTCTTTGATTTGTTTCTTTTTAGGGTTTTCAGCAACCTTGGTTTGGTAACAGTTTGATTGTTTAATAGTGATTACAAGAGGACCTTTTAAGATGCAAGGGATTGATATTAGGCTTAACAGAGCTTAAGTGTTTTGTTTGGCATTCTATATTTAGAAATAATCATACCAGATGTGAAAGATCAACAGGAAGACAAAAAGGCCAAAGGTGATGATTGGGACATTGAGTGTTGGGTTCTATGAATGGAAAACACAACTGATCAGTAATTTTGTAGAAGAAAGTTTAAAAATATTATATTTTACTTTCATCAAAGAAAAAGATTTAAAGTGGATAAATTGTATTGTATAGCATTTATAATTATTAATATATAATGTACAGCATTTGTAATATTTCACACATTGCTGAATATGTATTTCAGATTTATTTATTCAACCTAAATGTTAAACATCTATGTACCAGATATTGTGCTGAGTACTGAATATGAATGAAAAAAATAATTAGATAACACATAATGAACCTGTGTCATCAAATCCAAATGTCATTTTCCTCTTGGCCCCTCAAATGTAGATGTTTCTCAGAGATCTATTCTTGGCCTTTTCTCTCTTGTACTTGGAAATTTCCATTATCATAACTTCAGTTCTCACCTCCATCAGTGAAGATGATTCCCAAATCTTTAGAGTAAGCAGTAGTCTATTATTCCCTGAACCTCATTCCCAGATTCCAGTGGGTCTTCATAAGCATGTTCTACCAGCAACACATTTTTCCTCTTAGACTTGTTCTTCTTTTATTTCCCATTTATGTTGAAAGACATCATCATTAACCCCCATCATCCAGTCTTACAGTCTTCAGCTTTGATTTTCCCTGCTTCTTGGGACAAATTATGGTGGTTACTAAGTACTTGAACTGATTAGAAGTCTTCTTTGGGGAAAAAAAAAAAAACCTAAAAATTTTTTGTACCCTTATTTGATGATGAGCTTGTATTCGTCTGTGTGAGTATAGAAGCTAGACTTCTAAATCACATGAAGATTCATAAAATCTGTCGCCTGACATCTGACATCTAATAGAAATTTTTTTAAAAAACGCTTTAGAAATCTTTGTCAGTTATGTCAATACAGCACTCAACAAAAGTTAAGAAATGTCCTTTTGAGGCCTGGCTTGGTGGCTCACGCCTGTAATCCTAGCACTTTGGGAGGCCGAGGCTGACGGATTGCTTGAGGTCAGGAGTTCGAAACCAGC